ATTGAAGAAATGGTTGTTGCTGCAAACAAATACACACAATTGACACCTGTTTAGTGTTCCCACGCTTTTGAGTTTGGTAAGTGTCACCTGTCTCCAGATGCTATGTGTGTTTAGTTTGGGCCAAGGAACTGACATTTCTTGGTCTCTGGGTGCATGTGAACGTACTTCTGCAAATGTGATAATGCAATTCCAGTCCGGGAACTTCTCTTGAGACCATCTGTGTGTGATAAATTATTTTTATGCGTGATCATTGACTCCCACACATGCAAATAGATTTTGTGTACAATACATTTATTATGAAAACTAGTGGTAGGAAGAGTGGAGGAGGTCGGCAAGTTAGCAGGGGTTGGGGTAGGCTTCCCTGAAGAGGTGGGTTTTCAGGGTGCGCCTAAAAGGAGAGGAGAGTAGGTGATAATCTGATGGGTTGGGGCAGGGAGTTCAAGAGGATGGGTGACACCCTGGAGAAGTCCTGGAGGCGGGCATGGGAGGAGGAGACCAGGGAACTAGAGAGAAGGAGGTCTTGTGAGGAGCGGAGTGTGTGCGTGCTGGGTGGTACTTTCTATATTAGGTCAATGATGTAGTTTGGGGCAGTATGGTGGACAGCTTTGTACGTCAGTGTTAGGATTTTGAATTTGATCCGTTGCGCAATCAGAAGCCAGTGGAGGGATTGGCAGAGGGGGGTGGCGGAAACGGATCGGTTGGAAAGGTGAATGAGTCTGGCAGCCATATTCAGGATCAACTGAAGCGGGGATAGCCAGCAGCGAGGCAGGCCAGTGAGGAGGGAGTTGCAGTAGTCGAGTCGTGATATGATGAGGGAGTGGATGAGCTGTTTAGTGTTTTCTGGGGTTAGGAACGTGCGTATTTTGGCGATGTTGCGGAGGTGGAGTCTGCACAAGTTTGTTAAAGATTGGACTTGGGGCTGGAAGGATAGGTTGGAGTCCAGAATGACACCAAGTACTCTGGCCTGCGGGGCGGGTTTGATGGTGGCGTTGTTGGATGTGATGGAGAAGTCAGTGGGGGGTGGTGTCCGGCATGGGGGGAAGACAAGAAACTCGGTTTTGGAGAGGTTCAGTTTAAGGAAGTGGAGCGACATCCAGTCTGATATGTCGCTCAGTAGGTGTGTGATTCGGGCAGAGACTGAGGGGGTGAGGTGGGGGGTTGAGAGATAGATTTGTGTGTCGTCGGCATAGAGGTGGTAGTTGAAGCCGTGAGAGTGTATGAGTTGGCCAAGGGAGGAGGTGTAGATGGAGAAGAGAAGGGGCACGAGGACAGAGCCTTGAGGGACCCCAACAGAGAGGGGGAGTGATGGGAGGTGGTAGCATTATAGGTAACGCTGAAGGAGCGTTGTGACAGGTAGGATGAGAGCCAGGAGAGAGCAGAATCTCTTGAGGTCGAGGGAGTGTAGTTTTTTGAGGAGGAGGGGGTGGTCGACTGTGTCGAAGGCTGCAGAGAGATCAAGGAGTAGGAGCACTGAGTGGCCATTAGCTTTGGCGATTAGCAGGTCGTTGGAGAGTTTGAGTAAGGCGGTTTCGGTGGAGTGTAGGGGATGGAAGCCGGACTGTAGGGGATCGAGGAGGTGGTTGTCGTTGAGGTGAGAGCATAGGCGGGTGTAGACGAGGGGCTCGAGGAGTTTAGATGTAAATGGGAGCAGGGAGATGGGTCTGAGGTTGTTCGGGTCATTGGGGTCCAGGGAGGGCTTTTTAAGTATGGGGGTGACGTGTGCATGTTTCAGAGGGGAGGGAAAAGTGCCTGAGGAGAGGGAGAGATTGAAGATGTGGGTGGGGAGCGTAGGATGGAGGGGGAGGGAGGTCGTAGGAGTTGTGAGGGGATAGGGTCGAGGGGGCAGGTGGTGAGGCGGGCATCAGAGAGGATGGAAGGTGGAAGTGGAGGTCAGAGCAGTGGTGGGGCCGTGGGAGAAGTGTGATGAGGGGGTAGCTGAGTGAGGGGTAACGAGGTTGGAGGGAGTTTGAGCAGCGACGAAGTCCCTGCGGGTTATGTCGAGGGGGGGGAGGGGGGGATGAGGGGGTAGCTGTGTGAGAGGGGACGGGTTGACAGGGCGTGTGAGTTGCGGCGATGTCCTTGCGAATTGTGTCAATCTTGTTTTTGAAGTGATTGGCAATCTCAAGGGCGGTGAGTGAGGTGCTGGGTGAAGGTGGAGAGAGTAGAGAGTTGAAGGTGGAGAAGAGTCGGCAAGGATTTGTGGAGAGGGTCTTGATGAGGGTCAGGAAGTAGGCTTGTTTGACTGCGTGGAGGGAGGAGGTGTAGGTGTGGAAGGCAGATTTGTAGCGGGTGAAGGCTTGTTGGGATTTGGTTTTGCGCCATAGTCGCTCCAGGGCACGACTGTGTCGTTTGAGGGTTTTGGTATGATCAGTCTGCCAGGGCTGGAGCGGTCGGGGTCTGATGTTGCGTGTGGTTAAAGGCGCTAGTGAGTCAAGGGCTGTTGACAGCGCGTTGTTGTAGGCAGTCATAGCCAAGTCGGGGCAGGACAGGGGGAGGATGCTGTCATGGAGTTGATCAGCTGCAGAGTGGAGGGGGCAGGGTTAAGGTTGCGGAGGTTACGGCTGGTAGTAGTGTGACATTTGGAGGGGTAGGCATTGGAGGACGAGGAGATAGAGAAGGTAATCAGGTTGTGGTCAGAGAGAGGAAAGGGGGTGTTAGTGAGGTTGTGGGGAGCGCAGCAGTTGGAGAAGACAAGATCAAGGATATTACCATTGGAGTGGGTGGTGGAATGTATGCACTGTGCAAGTGCAAAGGAGGAGGTTAAGTGGAGGAGATGGGATGTGTCCGGGTTGTCGAGGTTGACAGGGATGTTGAAATCCCCAAGGATGATGGTGGGTAGCTCAGAGGAGAGGAAGAAGGGTAGCCAGGAGGAAAAGTCATCCAGGAAACGGGGTATGGATCCAGGAGGCCGGTATATCACAGCAATCTTTAGGGGGTTGGGGAGAATAGTCGGACGCAGTCGAAGGAGGAGAAGGATAGGGAGGGGGGGTTTGGGAGGACTCGGAAGGTGCTCTGCGGTGACAGGAGCAGACCAACCCCACCACCTTTACGACCGTTAGGCCTGGGTGAGTGGGTCCAGGTGAGACCTCCGTAGGAGAGTGCAGCAGGTAAGGTAGAGTCAGTGGCCTGGATCCAGGTTTCCGTAATCACTAGGAAGTTGAGAGAGCGGGAAACAAAGAGGTCGTGGATGGCGGTAAGCTTGTTGCACACCGATCGGGCGTTCAGGAGTGCACATGAAAATGGGGGGGTGATTTTAGGGAGCAGGGGGACAGATACTAAGTTGTGTGGGACGTGGAGGCAGGAGGGTGTTGTGCGGGTGAGGGAGGTGGTGGAGGGCCAGGATTCGGGGAGATGTCTCCCACGGTTAGGAGGAGGAGAAGGGTGAGAAAGGTGGCATGGGAGCGGGATGTGCAGGAGCGTGAGAAACTACTAGTGGAGGTGTTCGGGTCAGTGGAGAGAGTGGAGTAATAGGAGGAGGTAGTGGGTGCCGTAGAGGGGTGAAGGAAGCAGTGAGGACACAATATACAATTGTTTGGAAGGAGCATGTTAAAAACTATACCTATCCACCAGCTGAATTCAATGAAAGCTGAAATTCAGCTTTGGAGCGGTTAATGGTTATTTTGTTGTTTTTTTGAAGGGGCGGGGGTTATTTTTGTTTAGCACCTTGCATGGGATCTTAACTTTACAAATTAACTTTCTCAAAATTGTCGGCCTTTTTTTTTTTTTAGCACAAAAAATACCACTAAAATAAAGCTTAGTTCGTGGGAAAAAAAGGACATAACTTTCATTTGGGTGAAGCGTTGCATGACCATGGCATTGTCAGTTAAAGTAACACAACGCTGTAATGCAAAAAATGGCCTGGTCAGGAAGGGGGGTAAATCCTCAGGAGGGCAAGTGGTTTACCAAGGAACACATTTCACAACTAAATTTACAACAGATCTCACCATTCCACCCACCCATATCAATTTGTTAGGTGCAAGATTCTCAAAAACAAAGCAGGGTTTAAAAAAACAAAACAAAAAAAAACAGAGCGCTAACCCCCCTCCCCCAATGTAATTTGTTTGATATAAATCTTTTATAGACTATGTTAATTTTATTCCTAAATACTTCATGTATTTTTTCTCTCCATTTCAAAGGGAATTCTTTTTGTAATATTTGTTTCTCAGCCCTTGGAATATTTATATTTAAGATCTCACTTTTCAAGAGGTTCATTTTTAAATTAGATAATTCTCCATATTCTTTCAGTTTTCTCATTAAATTTGGGATTTGCTATATAAAATATGCTGCTACTTTATGTTCAGTGTCCCCCATCCACACTCCCTTGACGTCTACACTGTTTAGTATAGTTGCCAATAACAATAACGGTTGCAAGAAGATCACAAATAGCAGCTGGGATACAGGGCATCCCTGTCTGGTTCCATTATACATCCTAAAAAATTTGGGATAGTGAGCCATTTACTTTCAATGCAGCTGAAGGACGCATGTATAGCTCTTTTATCCACTGTACCATTCTAGGCCTAATTCCTAATATTCTCAGCATGTCGATCATAAAAACGCAATCTACTCTGTGGAAGGCCTTTTCGGGATCAAATGACAGAATAATTTCCAGGACCACTCCTCTTTTAATTTTGTTGTAGGATAAGCAATGTTCTTAAACCATTATCCTTTCCCTCTCTACCGTGGATAAATCCCACTTGGTCTAAGTGTATCCAGTCAGACATCGTCACTTTTAACCACTTGCTTACAGGGTACTTATACCCCCTTCCTGCCCAGGCCAGTTTTCAGCTTTCAGCGCTGTCGCACTTTGAATGCAATTGCGCGGTTCATGCAACACTGTACCCATATGACATTTTTATAATTTTTTTTAGACAGATAGAGCTTTCTTTTGGTGTTATTTAATCACCTCTGGGTTTTTATTGTTTGCTAAACAAACCAAAAACTACTGCAAATTTAGAAAAAAAAGTTTTTTTAAAATGTTGTAAATAAGTGATTTTTCGCCTTCACTGATGTGCGCTAATGAGGCTGCAGTGATGGGCACTGATAGGCTGCACTGATGGGCACTGATAGGTTGCACTGATGAGGAGGCACTAGTAGGTGGCACTGATGGGCATTGACAGGCATCACTGATGGGCACTGAAGTGCAGCACTTATATATGGCACTGATAGGTGGCACTGATAGGCGGTACTGACTGGCACTGATAGGCGGCACTGACGGGCACTGATAGGAAGCACTGACTGGCACTGATAGGCAGCACTGATTGGCAGCACTGATAGGTGGCACTGACTGGCATTGATAGGTGGCACTGACGGGCACTGATAGGTGGCACTGAAAGGGAGCTCAGATGGGCACTGATATGTGGCATTTATGTGCACTGGTAGGCACTGATGTGGCACTGGCAGGTGGCATTGATGAGCACTGACAGGTGGCACTGATAGGCACTGACAGGTGGCACTGCTGGGGCTACACTGATCATCAGGGCACACTGATCATCAGTGCCCTGATGGTCAGTGTACATGTCCCCTCTGAGAAATGTTGATTACCGGCTCTCCTCTCCTCTCGAGCTGTCAGCGTGACAGCTCGGGGAGAGAAATGCAGATAACCGGCATTTCCCTATTTACATGCGATCAGCTGTGATTGGACACAGCTAATCACATGACTGAGCCGACATCTTTGGCTCTTACCGTTGATCGGTGATCCGCTGTGTCCGAGGGACACAACGCACCACCGATCACTGCGCTGTTCGCGGTTAGAGTGGGAGGACATCATATGACATCCTCCCAGAATGAGAGAACTGCTTTGCACCCATCATTACCTTATATGGCTGGTGGGAGGCAGTTAAACTTGTCACTAATACCTTCACATACAGCTTTGTATCCGTGTGCAACAAAGATACAGGTCTGTAACTTGCACACTGAGACCAATCTTTCCCCTCCTTGGGTATAACCCACTATAATGTACAGCGCTGAGCAAACCTTTTAGCGCTATATTAATACTGTATAATAAATACTGTATAATAATATATGCCTGCAATGACTCCTCCCTCATTTTTGTCTCCTCTCCCAGTGCAATCATATAGATACACAGTTTAGGGGCTACTTGTTATCTAAACTTCCTGTAATATCCCACTGTGAATCCATCAGGTCCTGGGCTCTTCCCTATAGCTGTACCCTTTAATGCTAAGTTGACTTCTTCAATTAACTTGGGCTACTTACTGACAATCTGGCTTTATCCAATCTAGGCATTCCAGCATCACTCAGATAAATCCTCCTCTTCTCCCTTCTTCTAATTCTTTTTGATGTTTACCTTCTGAGCCATGTAGCATACTATACTGCAGAATTTTTGGAATGTATTAGCAATATCAGTGGTCGAATAAATGGTCGAATAAACCATTCTCTTTTTTCATATTTTGTTCTATCTATTAAGTTCCCTGATTTTTTTCCTTCAACTTCCTCAATAAATATTTTCCTTCCTGGTTTATTCCCCCACCGGTATCTTTCCTTTGAGACCCCATTAAAGATTTTTCTGGTTTCATATTCCATAAAGTCCATTAACTCCTCTCTTTTTGGTGTTATCTCTTGTTGTAACTCTATATGTATCTTCTTTTTATGTTTTTGTTCTAACTGGTATAATTCTTCCGTTAGTGTCCTAAATCTTTTCCCTCATTCTTTCTTTATATTCGCCCCTATTGCTATCAGTATCCCCCTTATGTAGGCTTTGTGTGCTTCCCATATCATGGCAACAGAGAGATATCTGTCTTGTTTATCTTGAAGTATTGATCTATTTCCTATTTTACTCTTGTTTCAGCTTACAAATTTTGCCAAATGGTCTCATTTAGTCTCCACATATTTATTTTACTCTGGTCCCTTCCAAACTGTAATCTCTTTGTGACAGGGGCATGGTCTGATATAGACATCACATCTATGTTAGTTTTCACCAAAGACTCAAGGTGTTCAACCCTCCAAGCATCCATCAGCTGACATTGTAGTTTTTTATTTTATATTAGTTAGACTCCTATCTCTCTCTCTCTCTCCTGGCGCACGAAGATGCATCCATCCCTGGCTCCATGCAAAAATTAAGGTCACCTGCCACAATCACTCTACCCCTTTTAAAATCTAAAGGTTTTGCCAGTATTCCCTCTAGGTATAACGTCAGGATTTTATTAATGCAATATATATTTACCAGTGTACACTCTTTTCCCTGCAAATTTCCTCTTAAAAATAAATATTGGCCTTCTGGATCTACCATCTTTTCCTCCAGAATAAATGTTATATTTTTCCCAAAACCGCTAAAATCGCTATATACCCTTTGCCCGTCTTATTGGGGAGTCCACATAAAACCAGGTTGGCAAAAATTTAGAGTATAACTCAATACTTGAATCCTGGGATATATGCGTCTCCCGAAGAAACACCATTTCTATAGATCTTTGGTGTATTTTCTTTAAAACCTTATATCTTTTTGTTTGAGTATTTAATCCTTTTACATTGTACATCATAAAATTAACTATGTTCCCTCCCCCCATTTTAACATTTTTCTTCCCTGTCTCCACAGTAGAAGTAAACAAAATGTTATAATATGAAAGATTTCCCTATCTCCCCCCCCTCCCCCCCTCCTCCTCCCCTCCCCCCTCCCACCCCCTAAGAATCCTATTGACCTATTTGTGGTCCTTGATTCAGCTGTGACCCATAGCCACAGCTGAGTCCTTCTTGTGGGTAGGAGTCTGACCACGTACACCGCTCCAGACCCCGGTCTCCCTTGTTTGGGTGTGAGGTTTAATAGCATGGCTGATCTCCCACTACCCATTATGGTGCTTCACCTTCTTCCCCCCGTCCAGTCCTCTTTATGAAAATTTTCTTGCCTTCCTTACACACATCTTCCTATTCCCTAGGGCCCCGTATAAAAAAAAAATGGGGACTCCACCACTGCAACAATACCAAAAACGTGTGTGAGGAATATGGCGACGTAGGAGACAGTGCAAGACAGGAGATAAAAAAAAAAATGATATTAAAAGAGACAGGGAGCACCTGTAATGGGTCCTCCGTCTCCCACTCCTCTCCCACCTTCCCCCCCCCACAACACCTTCACCCCCATCCGCTATTTCTCCTCAGCTACACTTATATTCTCTTTCTCTCCTAAGGACCACCCCTTAATTTCTAAAGTCTGTAAGTCTAATATTTCACAAAAGTCATTTAGATCTTCTGGGAATCTCAGTGTTGCCGATTTTCCATCCTTCCACCCGATTAGACATGCTGGGAATCCCCAGTTATAGCGGATATTTTTATTTCTCATCTGATCTAACAGTGTTTTCAGTTATCTTCTTACTAGTGTCTCCTGTGATATATCTGCGAGAATGTGCACTTTCAAGTCTCAAAATTTTCCAGATAATTTCTCTATCTTGATAATGCTGGAGTCTTACTATCTAATCTCTAGGGATTTCTGGTGATACTTTTTGAGTTCTTCTTGTCCTGTGCACTCTTTCTATCTTCAATTGCTCCGTTGTTTTTCTTCCCATTATTGGGTTAAACAATCTTTTCATGATATCCCTTAGATCTTCCTTTGAGATATTTCTGGTATACCTCTGATCCTTAAATGATTCCTTCTATCATGGTTTTCCTGATTCTCTAATTTATAGGATAACAATCTTTGTTTCATTTTCTCCATTTGCTCTTCCAATTTATTTATTACTTGTGCTTGTTTCTCCAGTTTCCCTTCCGCCTCCTCCACTCCTGATAGAACTTGTCTCATATCGCGGTGTAACACCACCATTTCGCTTTTTATTGAGTTTTCTAGTTTTGCAAACATGTCAGCTATTTCTGCTTTTGTGTGCATTTGAGACCTTACTTCTTGCTCCTCCATATTTCTTTTTCCCATTTCTCTTTCCGACTTTAAGATTTCTTTCAGCTAATGTCCTTTCAATACCTCAAAGGATAATCTCCCCTGACCTCCTATGACCTCCTAAACTGCTTTCCTCTCATTGGCTTTCTGCTATTAATTCCTCTGAACTTTTCTCCTGTTGAGGCATGTACTTTTTTATCATACTTGTATTTAAATTCGGCTGGGGAGTTTTCCCACCCCCTCCCTTGACAGATCTACTCTTCATATTTCTCAGGGTATACGGTAGATATTGCTTCTAAATACGGAATTACTGTTCAGACTGAAATCAGGGTGCACTGTCCCATCCACCCCTGAGAACCCCAATACACCGATTTCTTAGCCACGTGTCCCCCAGCCTTCACAATAGCGTACAAATGTTTGACTTTGGGAATTTATAGCCTCCTCCAGCCACTCACCCAGACCTATGTGTTGTTCACACTGGCTGGCCATCTGTATCTCCATTCTCTCTTCCTGGGACACGCTGGCTCTCCTTCATCACCTTGGGGTTCCCAGTTCTGGTGGTCCATTTCCGCTCTGTAGTTTCCAACCGACTCCGCGGCATGTTTTCCCCGGGTCCTGTATTGCAGCTGTCACCAGTCTCACCCGACTCTTCAGCAAGACCTCTGCCACCTTTGGAGGAGGTACAGACCTGGAGCTCGTTAGGGGGAGAAACAAGAAAACTTTGTTCTCCCACTCCAGCACCCATTAGCATGCACTAAAAGAAAGCAACCAATATTTCAGCATATGCACCGTTGCAGTGTAAAACAGAAAATGTGAAATGCCCAAGTCCCTGGGCATGCTCAGTGCTAAAAAAAAAAAAAAAGTGGAAACTGTAATTCCTTGGACAAGTGCGGGTGACAGAGCAGGAAATCTCACATTTGTAACTGCTGCTTGACCCATATTGCTGACAAGCCCATTTGTCATCCAAAACACATGTCCAGCATTTCCCATCTATTCCACTGGCTCTACTTCACCCCAGTGCAGTGTGTTCTTGTGCAGCCAAATTAGAACATGATGAATATGTTCTGCATGGAACTACACCAGAACATGGCCAGACACCTCCTAAATGCACTGACATGCCTGCAAATTTTGTGGGTTGTTAGGAAATAGCACCTGCTGGCATCATAACAACCAGTGACTCAATCCTGCAGTCAGCAGTGATTCCCCAATGACAGCAGAATGAACACAGCATATACCAAAACAGCATGGGTCCTTCAAGCTGCCGTGAATTTGAAGGTGAACCCATGGCCAAAAGAATAAGTGTGGCTTTCCCCCAAAATCACTAACACACCCTTATCTGAGCATACAGTCCTGCATGCCAGGAAAGAGGGGGTGGAATAGCAAGCTCAAAACCCCAATTCAGAGGGTGACACCACTATCGCAAAGTGACACACACAAAAAAAAAAATCCATAAAGCAGGGATTCACTGTTTCCACCTCCACTCTGCCATGTACATTAAGCCATGTGATTTATTTTTGTACTTACATGAGTAGATGCATGATATTTATTACACTAAATCTGCAGGTTGCACTATGGAATGTATGGAATGCTTGCTTATCCCTTACATGGCTTAATGTACATGGGGGAGTGGAACTGAAAACAGCCAATTGATGCTGATGTACCCTGGAGTTCCTTACTGCCATT